TGAAGGACTTTGGGCCCAGCTGGCGCAGTGGGGTGGCCTTCCACGCCATCATCCACTCCATCCGGCCCGAGCTGGTGGACATGGAGCACGTACGGGCCCAGAGCAACCGGAAGAACCTGGAAGAGGCCTTCACGCTGGCGGAGGAGAAGCTGGGCATCCCGCGTCTCCTCGACCCGGAAGGTACTGTCCACATCAACTTCCTGAGGAGAAGCGTCTCAGTTTCTCCTGGCGTTTGTTAGAAGACGTTGCTATCTAACGGACGCTGGCGTGTCGCAGTGCTCGCTATTTACTTTTGCTCCCGGCAGCCATGGGATTGAGCTCCTCCATCTTTCCTCCTCAGATGTGGACGTGGACAAACCGGACGATAAGTCCATCATGACCTATGTGGCCCAGTTCCTGAAGCACTATCCAGACGTGCACAGCGCTGAGTCCGAGGGGCAGCCGGAGGAGGTAAAGGCTTCAGGTTTCACTCCCCAGGTGCTAAAAAGTGACATTTAATCCAGGTTCTGCATCAAACTCAGCAATTTCTCATTCATTGGTTCTGTTCAGAATGGGTACAGATTTGTGCCTAACAATTAAACATGTGTGATGCTAATTAACTTGGGTCTGATCCTGCAGCCTTAGTAGATGAACGTGAAAGGAGACGGTGCCGAGATAACCGCGTTGCTGGGTGCAGGCCTATCGCCTGGTGTTAGGCCTGTTTCCCAGCAGCTGAGAAGGTCTGTCTCATTCCCATTTGGAAGCTCTGAAGTGCCAAGACTTTTACTGCCGTTGGACCAGAGTGCAAGGTCTAGTCCTGGGGGAGTTTAGCCGTTTGTCACGCCACCCTCCCCCCCATATCATCCTGCCGTGCTTCTTGGGGGGGGGGGTGGAGGGCTTGGCCGTGTCTCTTGGCTGGCTGCAGCAAATGGCCTCCCCCCCTCCACCCCTAACCAGGACCGGCCTAAGGAGGTCGTCCCACCCCCCGTGCAAAATGTCCATCGTCACTGGAACTGGTGGCACTCGTTTCTGAGCCTGTGCTGCCCCTGACCCTAAATTAATACTTGGCATAATGACAGAAACAAACAATCCTGCGATGACCTTTCTGTCTGGAGGTCGTTACCCAGGGTGCCCTGTCCCCTCTGTGCCACCACAGCCCAGCCCCTCCTTTCGAGATCCCTGCTGTGCTGAGGGCACATGGGGCCCATAGTGTACCCTGGAAGCGGGATGCATGTCCCCCGCTGGGCTGGACCCCGGGAGGGGATGTGTTTCAGACCATGCAGGAACTCTAAGCACCCTTGGCCTATGGGCCTGGACTGGTTTGTCTGGGGGGGGGGTCACATGCCTGTGTCTCTTTTCGAAAGCTGCTCCTGATGAGATCCATTAAGTCTGAGGTTCCCAGAGCTCGTCCAACACAGCAGATCTGACCCTCATGCTGATATTCATCTCAGGGTCACTCTCTCCTCTCTGACTGCCTATGGACTTGATGGATCATTAGAACCTCTCTGTCTCCCACTCTCTCTTTCTCTCTCTGTCTCCCTCTCTCTCTCTCCCATTCTCTCTCTCTGTCTCCCTCTCCCATTCTCTCTCTCTCACCTCCCCCCCCCCCTTGATTACCATTCCATTCTCTGCCTGTCCTGTGCCTCGCCAGCCCTTTCTTGGCCACGCCCCAGCTCACGTACTCTCTTTGGCCTGCCTGCAGGTAAGCTTCAGCTTCAAGGCTCAGCTTGGAGGGAGGGGGAGGTCAGGGAGGTGCTTTCCGTCACCCTCCCACCCAGAATCTCGTGGGAGGGGCTGGAATGAAGCCCCCGCCCTCGCCCAACCCAATATCACCTCTCACAGCCGCCCCCCCCAGTGCTTAATTAGTCAAAAGATGGATGGGGCAGGACTGCACTTCTGGGTGTCCCACACAGCATTGCTTGGCAGGCTGATTTAAGCCCAAAAAGGTCCCTTCTCTTCTCCTCTGTTGCTTGTATTGTGTGCTGGTGTCATACTTGGTTGCAGCGCCCCCTGTTGACCGCCTCGTTTTCCGCACGTCTCTTTCTTTCTCTTGCTTTCTCTCTCTTTCTCTCTCCTAAATGCCATGTCTGCATCCCTCTCTGTGCCTCGCTCTCCTTCGCAGTTTGCGCTTGGTCCTCGAGAACTTAAACAGATGCTAGAGGTATGTCCAGTCGAAGGCAACGGTATAGATAATGTCTGCTGATGATGCTCCTGGCTTTATGGCCTTGCCCCATCGTATCTCTGCTTGCTTGTAATGCCTCCCTTTAACCCGGGTAGCACAGTGGTTTGGTCTTAATGGATGGTTGGTGGCAGGCCTCAGACTGACCAGCCTGTGTCCCTGAGCATGCTTCTCAATCTCTGCTGTGTGTGGAGTTCAAAAGCACCCAGAGCTGAACCAAACCTCAAAACGACGACTCCACTATTTTCCAACTTGACGTCTTCTTAGGTTCTTATTTGAGGCCATTGAGTTGGCGGTTTGATTGGCATGCCGTTTGACTGCCTAGACTGGAATGTCATAGGCTGCTGGCTGTCGAATCCGACAGAGGGGCGGGATTAACGCTGTGCTCGTCCCACCCCCTGTGCACAGAGAGAACAGCGGAAGGTCCTGAGAGAGACGAAGGCTGGGCTAGATAAGCTGGAGAAGAAAGTAACCCGTGCCCAGGAAGCACAGGGCAGCTTGGCCGACAAGTACCAGGTAGGCTCCCAAAGGGGCGTGGCCAGTAGGCGGGGCTTGGGTCAGGTGAATGGCTGGGGCGGCGACCTGTGCATGCACATGTGGGCATGTGTGTCAGGGCTTGTGGATGTCCGAGCCCTGACCGGCGGTTTCTGGCAGTCCTTCAAGGTGCTCTGCGTGCAGTACGAGGGCTGGCGCAAGCAGACGGACGCTCTGCTGAAGCCCTGGCAGGCCGACGGAAAGCTCACCGTGGATCAGGCGCTCGTCAAGCAGGCGTGGGAACGCGTGTCCTCCAACGTGAGGCTCATAGGCGCACCTCGCACTCTAAACGCTGCACGGGTCCGACAAAATGCTATGGGCGCGTCATAGACACTGGGGCTGCACACTTTGGGGTGGGGACTGACTCAGGTCAAAGATTCGAGCTCCTAATCCAAGTCTCTATGTTCCTACTCAGACACAGTGATCTTCTTATGTCACTTTAAACTCTTACGTAGACTCTATGGTCTTTATCGAAAGGTAGGAGCCTCTAATCCAGGCCTCTGTGGTTTTCTTCAAACACAGCGATCTTCTCTTTGCTCACTGTAAGCTCCTTCACAGACTCTGTGACTTGCTACACTAAAGTAGACTTCGAGACCTCCTGCTCTCACACTGTGTGCAAACAAGAGGGCCTTCTACACATACAGTGTGCCCTGGGAGCAGTCCAACCCCATTGTTTGACTGGAGCTTGAATTGGGACACGGACAGCCCCTGTCAACGGGGAGAGGGCGGCGGGGGGGTGGAACAGAGAGGGTTTTGTTAAGAGACAGGCAGAAAGACTCCCCGCAGGGTGAGATTCACTCCCGTGGGAGTTTAGCCTTCGTGTGCAGCTAATGAGGTTTAGCCTTAGCGGGAACGTTTAGCTGTAGCGTTGAATTTTAGCCATAGTGCTAAACACGCGTTAGCCTCACCCTAGGAGCTAGCGAAGCTTTAGCCCGTAGCGTGCAGCTAGCAGGCTTTGCCGGCGTGCCACGGTGCAGCGAGTGACACTGTCGGGTTCCTGCAGATTCAGAACTGGCACCTGGCACAGGACACAGGTCTTCCGAGCCCGCTAGGTGACATCGGGTCGTGGCTGCACCGGGCCGAGGTGGCCCTGAAGGAGGACATCCCCGTCCAGCAGAACCACGAGGAGACGGCCAATGGAGTCCGGCGCACCCTGGACCAGCACAAGGTACCGGATGAGGGCAGGACCCCTGGGAGGGCTTGGGGGGGGGGGGGGTCGGGTTTGTTCATCCCTATGCTGACTCTAATGCTTTATAAATGCTTGTGCATTTCAGCACCAAGCCTAAAGAAATTTAGAAAGAGAAGTATAAAATGCCATGGTTTATAAATATAGTCACGTGTCGCTTAACAACAGGGATACACTCTGAGAAATTTGTCATCAGGCGATTTTGTTGTTGTGCGAACATCGTAAATACATAC